ATGATGGTATTTTGCAGAAAGTTGTGTTTTGCAGTCAAATTTTAAGTAATCATATAGTTCCAAGGTACCAATAATGTGGCATATGAGAAAGAGGAAACTCAGTACGTTACAGTTTTCTATATATTCTTCCTGCTGAAAAAAACATGAAAATAAAAAAAAAAAAAAAAAAAAAAGTACAGTTGAATTTGTTGTGTACAAATTCCTAGGAACATGATAGCAAAGCTTGTGGTGCAGAGTTCCCCTCACCTCCTCATCACTGTTGTGGATATATTGGTCATTCTGTTCCTTATAAATGAGCTAGAATTAAACACTATAACAAGGGAAGGGTACTGCATTGCCTATTTCAAAGTTGTTCAGTTAATTGGCTTCTTAATTTGGCTTAAAAGAAAATAAGTTTATATGTGTCTCTGAATGCGAAGTTTTCTTGAAAGAGTCCCGAGAATTGATGGGAGATCATTGATGTCTGCTAACAAAATAAACTTAAAAATTCCAATAACTCTATGAAACTGTGGCAAAGCTTAAAGATGCATTAGCGGTTAAGACAAAAGCTCTGAAACAGGTAACAAAAGCTATTACAAATACTCAGGTCTATGTGCAAATACACAGTAGCTAGTTTTATTAGCCCTGAAACATAGAAGAAAGATGGGGACAAACTTTTTATCAGGACTTGTTGTGACAGGACAAGGAGTAGTGGTTTTAAACAAAAAGAGGTAATTTTAGACTAGATACGAGGAAGAAATTTTTTATAATGAGGGTGATGAAACACTGAAGCAGGTTGCCCAGAGGGTTGGTATAAGCCCCATGCCTGGAAACTTTTAAGATCAGGTTGGACAGAGCTCTGAGCCACCTGGTCTCCCTAAAGATGTCCCTGCTCACTGTAGGGGGGTTGAACTAGATTACCTTTAAAGGTCCCTTCCAACCCAAACTATTCTATTCTTCTATGATACCTTTCTATAAAATTTTCTTGAACTCATCTGGAAATATAAATCATCTTGTACTAGGAGCTTATGATAAGTGTTATAGTTCATCACAAGCACATAAACTCTTGAACTCGTATGGACATAACTGCTCCATTTACTCCCTACTGAAGAACATGCTGGGTTTAATTGATGGGGTTTAGCAGGTGTTCTATATTTTCCAACTCTGTGGAAAATATTGAATAAATATTCAATATTGATACTTCTAATTTAATGAGCACTGTAATCATTCTTTGAAGGAAGTAACCTCTAAGAAAATGAGAAATGGCTTAATGAAGGTAATATTTTTAAAACTTGGTCAACTAAAACCAATTTAATAAAGTTTATTTGCTTAACAGAGCTAGAAATTTGTGTAGAGCTTGTCTTACATTTGTGTTCTACTAAAATAACAATCTTAGCAGTGTACTGCTCACAGCACCTAGTTACTTCTTTGAAAACAGACCCTTTCAAAGTGCAGATGTACTTACAGCATTATTTCATACTTCAACACTGCTACTAATCCATATTTTTAAAAATCAAAGGTTAAGAGGTGCTCTGCATTTGAAAAGCAAAATGCCTTACCTGCCTCTAATATTATAATCTAGTGTCTAGTTTGAGACACTAAAGCTTGAAAAATATGACTAATATTCTAAATAACTGTTCATAGACAACCCGATTGTTACTGAGTGCGTTTGGATTGGCCATTACTTTGAGGGAAGGGGTTAAGGAAATCTTGGTGAAAATATTATTGCTTAATGATGATCTAGATTGCTGTGTAACCCAAAGAATCAAGCTAATGGATACTGCTTAATATTTTGCTGACTATTGTACAAACTAGTTGAAGCAAGGAATGTTGTGGCCTCTTACAAAAGACAATTCCTGATAAACTCACGGAAGCATGAAGATTTATGGCTCCACACAAGGACAGTTCCTGATAAGAACCTGGGAGATGCCTCAAGAATTGACTAAAACCAACCCTACAGTTTGGGCAAGAGCCAAGGAGCAACTGAGTCTGCGCAAGAACAAGGGGTTACTAGCGGTGTCAAAAAGGAGCCATCAGCCTTCAAGGGGTTACTAGCAGTGACGAAGAGGAGCCATCAGCCTTCATCTCCACGACCCCCGACAACCACCACAAGGAGGCACTGCGCAAGCACAGTTAGGAGGAGTTTATGGAAATGACCTTTTGGAACTAATTTTAATACAAAGTGGAGATAGGTTATGCATATGTGTAGGCGTATTGGGAAACCTCATGTACATGTAGCATCTGACCGTATAAATCAGAGACAAGTTGCCGCGTTGGGGCGCACACGACTTTGGTGGGGCTACCACCCCCCGTGCTGCCCAGCGCTGAATAAACTTACCTACTTCACAGTCTCACAGATTGTGGAGTCCGTTTTCCGCACGTCAACTTTCTGAAGTTATACTTGAAAAGTCTGAATATGCAATATGTTAAGAATTTATCATGCTTACACTGTATACCTTTCTAAATTACAGTATTTGATATTAAGTATACTACTGATGAAGCAGTAATGACATGCAAGGTAGGCAGACCATGTATTTGGTATGCCTGTGAATCAAAGGAAACTCAATAACAACAGAGTGTTATTAAGCAGGTATTCTTTATTACGACGTCAGGCAGCATGGAGGATAGCTCCTTCCATATGTGCTCCAACGGGTTAGCAAAACACATCAGTTCATATACACAAAAATCATACATATTCATCAGATTTCCTGAGAAGGGCAGTCTTATGGTGATGAGGTCCCAGCGTTCATAGTCTTCCTCACCTGTCCACTAGTTGAATCCTCCTTCTTGAACACAAGCCTGGGCCCCTTTTCTGATGCAACCTTTTTTAACAATCAGTTGTGCACTAGAGGTGTCTCCTTGATGTCTGGAGCTTTGTCTCCTTAATGTCTGGCAAGATGTTATCTATTTATCAGCTTTGCTCAGCAAATAGCTAAAACCATCCTTGCAGGGGAAGAAAGACTTAGGAGAAATGCAAGTAGGTTTTTATGTATCTTAGGGATTGTCAGGGGTTTGACTCTTTCACCTCTGATAATTTATTTCAGGATTTAGGTGAAATTACATTTATATGCTGTTTTCAAACTGCATACACTTTTAAGATTTAGGCACTGCTGTTGGCAGATCAGAAAGGAGCTGTCAAAAGACATGGAATCATGTTAGAACCATAAGGCCTATGTTATACATGTACACTTTGCATATGGTGTACAGCTTTAACAAGATAGTGTGGTACATGGTGCTTCTTAAACTTGGACATAGAAAGAGCAGGATTTACAATGTCAAGCTCTGCCTTACGTTTATAAGTACTAGATTTGCATATATGTGTGACTACTGAAAACAACCCTGCTGTGCAAGAGTCCTTCATTATATTGTGCAGTCTGCCCTCGAAAGAAGTATTTTCAAGAGCAGCAGTAATTCAGTGAACTTGATTGGTTGATTTTAAGTCCTTGGTTTGATTTTTTTTAAAAAAAAATTTAGATTTTATGCAACACTGAACTTTGGACAATTCCAGGTTATACATTCATGCATTAACATTTTTAGAAAGTAGTTTCAAAGCCATTATGTAAATCAGTGGGAGTTTTTCTTGTGCCCTAACTACCATTTTCTAAGATACTAAGCAGCCTGTAATACATGCGGATGGTTTGTGGAATAGATGTATAAAGATACTGAAGAAGGTAAGTACGTTTCTTAAGAAAGCTTACGTCTGCCCACATGTCATCAGAAAATTGGACAGCTTTATCTCCTAAGAATATATAGGCTTTATGGTTTTCAGAACATTTCTTTCTGAAGAAGATAGGACCACTTCTTTAGTTGGTAATTACAGAATGAAAATGATATTCTGAGGAATTAGTATTATTAGTTAGGACTAGGTCGTCGGTTGGTGTTAGTCAATATTGCCCTGCTAACTTCAGAGGGATAAGCTTAACTAAAAAGTTCATTGTACCAGAAAAGAATCGCAGAACTAATAGAGTACTATTTATATTAGGAGTATAATAACATGCAAATGTTTTGAAGGACGTCGTTCCGACATTGCTTCTTAGCATCCTTCAACTGAACAGAGCAGTTTGTTAAATTGTGAAAATATTGTTGTGTCAGGATAATTATTTGGGACATACCAGCTGCAGACTAATTCACTGAGGTTGTTGTGGAGGTGATTTGCTTCAGTTAGATCATACTGGTCACTGAAATGACAATTAATTTCTGAATTGCATTTTGCCACTTGCATGCAATGCTGCCCATGGAGAATGCTGCCTCTGTGTGATTACATGTATATGTAGTTAAATAACTGAGGTTAGAAACTGCTGATCAAAGGCCTGATGAGACTTTTTTCTCTATCCTAGTAAAAAGCACAAAGCTACTGTGGAATTAAAAAAGGTTTGAAAATAAGACATCAAGGAAAAATTGAAAGATTAGTTCTTTTTCCCAAAAATTTAATTTCTAAATAAAATGAAAATATTAAATTTCAAAACATCTGATAAGCTGCAATGATAATACCAAAAACCAAAATACCAAACCTCATTTAACAGACGGTAAAGTTCATTTGTAAATTGTATTTAAATACTGTATTGTAAAAAAAAAAAAAAAATGCAATGACTAACCTGTGTAAATTATACCTTAATTGGCTGGCATGGCTTCCTTTAAGAATGTGAGCTGTTGGTAACATGATGACAAATGAACACTAATGAAAGGTAATAGGTGTTAGAAAGCATGCTGTTATTCACAAGTGCTACTCTAGCTGTTGATGCATTTTAGAGCATGATGACATGGTTTTCAAACGTACAAAGAAATTTTTTTTTTTTCTTGTGGCATTATGTACATTAAATGTTTTTAAGAATTTGTCTAATGGATGTGCAAGTTGGGTAAAATCCTTTGTGTTATCACACTTATTATCTCTGGTATTTTTTTCTCATGTTAAATTGGAATGGGCTTGCATGTTCGTTTTCAGCTTTCTCTTCATGCAGACATTTTTCTGAGTTAATTTTTCATAATTATTTTAATTTTTTCATTAATTTCTTCCTCTTCAGGTGCAATCTAGCTCCTGTGGTGGAGTTTGCTGTCGATGTGGGAACTAAATCTGATTTTATTACCATGAACCCATCAGTTGTACAAAGAGCATTTGGAGGCTTTCGGAATGAGAGTGACAGAGAAAAATTTGTGCATAGACTATCCATGCTGAATGACAGTGTCCTTTGGATCCCTGCTTTCATGGTCAAAGGCGGAGAGAAGCATGTGGAGTGGGTTAATGCATTAATCCTTAAGAATAAATTGAAAGTCCGAACTGCCTATCCATCACTGAGGCTTATTCATGCTGTCAGAGGGTAAGTGTCTGGAAAAGACTGGTCTGTCTTTGGCACAGTGAAGCTCTTAACTAGAATACCTAGCATACGCAGAAAAAAGCTCAAGCAAAATGTTAAAGGGAGTATGATATTTCCATTTTCATTGTTATAATGGATTGCATTTATGATAAAATAAGTTTGGTAATAAATGTTGTCCACTCCTTTAGCCTGCTCTAGTGCAAACAACTGAAATGCATTAGCACAAAAACTTTTCACTTTCACTGTCATGTACAAAAATTTTTTATGATCATTATTGTGATAAATTAATGAAAAAATAGCGTGAATTCAAAGGATATCTGTGAGTCATCAAATCAGAGGACAATGAAAGTGCTACTTGTCATCTTTTGGGCAAGACTATGGCCATAAAAAGTATAATTTAAGTAGCACAGAGGGTAAGGTAACAACCATATAAATAGTGAAGTCTGGCAGGTCTGAAAATAATGAGCTCCTTCCTAAAATGTCTAGGATTTTTGTAGCAAACTTTCTTCTTTTGAATTTGGCCAGATGCTTGGGCAATTAAAAAACATTGGTCAGCATCACTGAAAACACTACTGTAACCAGTTGTTAAAAAAACCCAAAGAATCCTTGCTTTGTGCAGAGACCTTTTTTTTAACCCTGTAATTAAACAAGACTGTCAGATGAAGACTCCAGTATCTTTGCCACAACGAGTAAGAGTTTGAGTGTATAGGGCTGTGCATGAAAAACATTCAGAAGATGATGGTAGTGCAGTATCTGTTGTGAAGTGAATTCTGACAGTCTGATAATATACAGCTTGAGTGCCTTGAACTATGCTGTCGGTGGAGTTTTGAGAGGGGCCTTAAAGTATTGGTATTGTCTTTTACGCCAGTTACTGATTATCTAGCTGCCTAAAAAGTTGTTACTGTTGCAGCAGAGATAAGATCAGAGAGGATGTTTGAACTGGTACCTCAATCTAGTCTGAGAGTATGAGGATAAAGCTTAGAAATATGTTAGTTTTCAGGATATTAGGAATTTTGAATGTGCTTTTCTGCTTCTGCCATGTCTCTGATAGGTTAGCTGCTGCATTCTTCATATGGTACACTTCTGGCACTGACAAAAAAAAAATCTGTTCCCTTTGGAATTTGGAATTCCTTTAATTTTTTACTGAGTTGCTTGGTTTCCATAGTTGTTTTGTTATACAGGTACACTTTAGCTATTTATGGTCCTTGATTGTGCTGAATTTTCAAGTATTCAAAATGCTTATAACATTGATAGGTGTAATGGGTCTTGTGTGTGTGTATAAATCTGAATAAATAATGTTACTTCCAGTTTACAAACAGCTGTTCTCATTTCCATCTGCTAAACCTGGGCAAAATTATCAAGTATGAATGATAATTCAGAATGTGCAGTCTTTCAGTTGGCCAGCTTGAAAGTCCTTTAGGGGGTTTAATCTTAAAAAAAGGGTTAGCACCTACATTGTCTCTCTGAAAGAAAGGCAACAAAATTGTGCCATCAGAATTGTGTTGAAAATGTAGTCTAGACTGTATTTCAGATTATACCTAGCAGTGTCATCTGATATGATTGGATAAAATTGTCAGGTTGTGGAATCTGTGCTGTAAACCTTAGGTCCTCCACTTCAAACCTTGTTTAATCACCTTGCTTTCCCTTTTTTCTTCTTGTGGGAAGTAACGAGTACCGTCATGTATCCTTTACTATTCTTTTTTGTAATTTGAGTAAGAACAAAACAAGAAGTCAAATTTATCTTTGGTCTAACTCTTTAGGAAATGAGGTGCAAGAGGTGAATATGTCTTCATGAATCAAGTTTGGAAGTGATACAGTTAGCAGTATTGTATCTGGAAGAAATATTCTTTAGATGTCTTAGAAGGCAGTCTTAAAAGACCAACTCCTAATAGTGAGCTTTATATTACAGTAAAGTTAAATCTATGGAAAGA